AGAAGAAATAATAAAATAAAATAAAATAAAAATCAATGGGCTACAAGATGGCTCAGCAGGTGAAGGTGCCCACCACTGAACCTGGCAATCAGGGTTTCACCCCTGGGACTCATCAGTGAGACAACTTTACATGTTGCCCTCTGACCTCCACAGCCATTGTGCCCGTCCACATGCACTCACATATATGTATGCGCACACAGAAGAAATGAGTAAATGTGGGAGAAAAGGAAAACAGCGCATAATGCAAAAATGTCTGCATCACTGTCCCCATGACATTATCCCCAATGGCTTCAAAGCAGAAACTGCCCAAATGACCAACCGATAAATGGATAAATATAAACTATGGGGCACCCATGCCATAAAACACACAATGTGGGGCTGGGGAGATGGCTCACTGAGGAAGAACACGTGTGCTGTAGCCAAGGGGACTCGAGTCAAACCTCCAGCACCCATATGATATCTAGGCAAAGTGTGAGTCAACACCCAGGCACTAGCCAGAGGAGGCAGGCAGGACCCCAGAGCTCGCGAGCCAGTCAGCACAGCCAAGGCAAGCTTCAGTTCAGTAGAACGTCTCAAGGCAATAAGATGGGGGTGACCCTCTGCTCTGGGCTCCACGTGTGAGCATGGGCACACAGACCCACGTACTCACACACACACACACCACACAGAAAAGAAATGAAAGACTGATACATGCTACAACGCAGGGCAACTCTAAAGACTGATGTTTGGTAAGATACGCCAGTCGGGGGCTATGCCTTATATGAAATGTGCAAGGAAAGCAGATCCAGGGAAACAGACTCGTCATTGCTGAGGGCTGGAAAGGGTGTGGGTGGGGAGGGACTGCTAATTTCTATGGGCTTCCTCTTGAGGGTGAGGAGATAGTCTAAAATGTTACAGGGCTACGCAGTTCTGCGACCACACGAAAACAGGAAATTTATGTAAGGGCTTTTTCTGTTTTGTTTTGTGTACAACATTGGCTGGCCTAGGACTCATATAGGCCAGGCTGGCTTTGAATTTTAAATTATATAAGAATTAAATAGAGTTACAGACTCAGTTTCTCAGAGATACCTTACTCAAAACACAGGTGGCTGAGCAGCTCCTGAACTGCACAGCCTAGACAGAGGCCACCCCCAACATCACGGAAAGAGCTCCTGGACAGTGCGGCCTGAGACCTTGCTGGAGTTCAGAAATGTCCATGAAACTAAATTCCAATAGGAGGGTTTACAGGAACTCAGAAATGGTCTTCGATAAAATGCTAACTCTGGAATACCAAACAGTCTAAGGAAATAAGGACAGGGAGGCTACGTTCTGTAAGCCACGTAGGCCTACCATTGTACAAGAAAATTATGATAGTGACTGCCCTGAAATACTGTTTGTAATGATCAGAAGTTCAAGGTTGTCCTTAACCACATAGCAAGTTCAAGACCGGCTTGGGCTACATGAGACTGTACCTCAAAACAACGAGACAGAGGGTGTGGAAGATGGAACAGGGCATGTGGTGTTTCCCATAACCTAGTACTCAAGGGTACTAGCACCAAGTACCTAGCACTAGGTACCTAGCACCATAGTACCAAGTCCGCAGCCGGGAAATGGAATAGTGGCTCTAAAATAAAATCTAAAACATGGAGGGTGGGGGGAGGAGTAAAGGTGATATGAAATTGAGAGGCATAGTGAGAAAAGCAAGAACAGGGCCCAATCAAAATCAGTTTTGAAGTTTGCTGAGGAGCTCCACAGATGGCATCTGGAGGCTGCACCCACAGCACTGGCGCATCACCTTATGGACACAGACATTTCTACTAAAACCTTCTTTTTAACAACACAGTCAGGTAATCTGGTTGGATCTACAGACCATCCGAGGGAAAACAATGCTACGTCATCTCAAGCCTAAATTAACTGGAGGGAACAAATGCCAAGGCCTTCCCGTTTGCAAAATGCAGCCTTTTTATTCTCTTCCGATTCAAGGGATCCCCACGTGTTGAGTCACGGATGCCCTACGAGAGAGTTACAGAGAAGTTCCTAACTACAGAAGTCCCTAGGCTGATGAACGTTCTCGGTCTGCGTGGCAAGAGACAGCCGCTCAGTCAAAAGCCGGTGCTGGGAAGAGCCACCTACCAATGCACACACATTTCAAATAGAAAATGTGCGTGCAGGTGGGCAAGGCGGTGCACACTGTACCCCAACACTTTCAAGCAGAGGCATCACAGAAAGTTCAGCAGCAGCCTGGTCAACAATATATTGAGTTCTTCCAACCAGGGCTATAGCTAACAAAACCCTGTCTAAACTACGGCCCTCACTCCCCCCCATACCCTCTGACAAAACAGATCCCTAAGGCGGCCCAGCGGTTGTGGCATTAGACTGCTAAACCCTGCAAAAAAATAAACAGAAAACGATGCTATTTGACAGAGACATTTCAGGGAGGGAGACACAGTGAGGTCCCCACACCACCTTCCACCAAGAATTCAAGGTGCCACCTGAGCAATCCGGGGGTCGCTACAGAAATAAAGGCCCCAGGGTGCTCCCTGACAGATGCTCTCTTCAACTTTTTTCCCCTTTCTGATTTGCACACACAAAACCCCAAACGAAAAACTCTAAATTGACTAATCTGTGCTAGATTCAAAGTTAATAATTATATTGCAGCTTCCATTCCAAAGGTTAAACACCAAAACACAAATCTCACCATAGATATCTGGTGACTGATTGGACTGAAGGACACAGGGGATTAGGGTGAGACAAGAGTGTAAAGGGTGTTGGGGTGACGGATGGGAAGGCTAGGAAGGAGTGGGCAGCTCATAAGAAAACTTTCCCTCTCTGCAGGAACTGTCCGCCACCACACAACAGCTGCGGCCAGTGCTAACACCCAACCAAACGGAACGAGGAGCAAAGTACAAAAGCCACCCTGTCCCCAGAGTAAGTATTGGAAGTGCCAGAAATGTGGTAAGAAAACAGTCTGTGATTGATGCGCTAGAATTAGAGCCTTACACCCAAGACCCTCACGGGGCTCCCGGACGCGGTGGAATCTCCCACTTTCCAATCCTTTTCCTTGAAGAGGAGGATCCAGCTCTTATTAGCGACCAGCCCACCTGCAGAGGCTTCACATACTCCTAAATTAAGCCCCTGAACAGGGTGATTGGATGGTTACAGAGAACCACCCTCAGAGACACCCAAAGAAACGGGAAAGCATTCCCGTTTGCTATTCCGTATGCTATTCCATCCATACCTAAGCTTAACCAGTCCTGAGAACTGTAACATTTCTAAGAGACAAATTTATTTCTCCTGCCAGTTTATGGTTTTAACTAAGAAAACAAAGAACTTCAACAAAGGCTAAAAACTACCCTAGGAAAGACTATATGAAAGGTCATAAAATGAACTCTATTTCTTTCACACATTATTTCCCAGATATACTCCCACCCCCGATAAGGCATAGCAACAGATAAGCTGATAAATAAGTAGTATACACACAAAGGGGATTACTGGTTACAATGTGGATGAACCTTAAAAGCATGATGGTAGTGACAGAGGCCAAACACCAAAGACGCCATACATACTGTAACATTCCATTACACAAACTATCCAGAACAGGTAAATCCACTGAGGCAGAATGCAGATTGGTGCTTGTCAAGAGCCTGGGGTAGGAGGGTGGGGATGAGGCAGAAACAGGGAGTAACTGGTTAATGGGGACGGGATTTTCTTTTGGATGATTCAACTGTTTTGGAACTAGATAGCGGAGGTGGTTGCACAACACTGAATGTACTGAATGCCACTGAGTGATTCACTTTAAAACTCTTGATTTTGTTATGTGAATTTCAACTCACTTAAAAAAATCTATCAAGTCACAGAACCTGGGTGGGTGAAGACAGAGGATCTTGAGTTCAAGGCCAGCCTGACCTACAGAGCAAGATTCTGTCTTAAACAAAACAAAACTCAATCATTTGTGGGTTGTGTTTTTTTGCTTTAGGATGATACTCAGGAGCAAAGCAATTGGATAGGCGAAAGGGCTGCCCTGAAGCTCTAAGGGGAAAGGCGAGTGTTTGGCTAACAATTTTTGCTCTTCATCAGAACATGAAGTTAAGTGCTATGCTGTACAGGCTGTCCCCACGCTGCCTGTGCCTGGGAATGCTTTTCTGAAAAAAAGGACAATGATGGGAACAAAGTGAAGAAAGTAAAATGATAGAAGCTTTGCCAGTTTTAACAGAGGAGGGGTGATTCCCCCTACGGCACCCCACCCAATTTGGCACCAAGAGTAACGCTTCAATTAGGGTTTCGAAACGCCAGCCCGAGCTAGAATCAGCATAAGCAAGCTTCTCTGCCTGGACAAAGAGCAAGCCACCCACCCAGCAGGACAAGCTGGGGTGCTCCATTTGCTGCGGATATTGCTATCACAACCACGCTTTGGATGAGCACCAGGGACCTGTTCTTCCCAGGGCAGGCAGCCTAGCACCCCGGGCTTCTCACAGCTCCACTCCACTACTTCATCCCTCCTATCTTCCAAGAACCCTACCTCCAACAACGGGCCACCAACGTGCCATGCCTTCCAGCATCAAAAACAGGGCCAGGACGCCCTCAGAACTTTCCTTTGTCCAGCCTGAAATAAATACCCTGCCGGGCCCTCCTCCCTCTGGGGCCAGTTCAGCAGCCTGTGGTCCATCCACACGCTGGTGCGGCTCCTGACTCCACTGCGGAGCAGAAATAAGCCCAACCTGAGCCAGTGTGCATCAATATCCAGGAAGAGTGCCTCCAGCGCACCTACCATACCTACCCTCTCTCAAAGGACCCTCAAGTCGCCTGGCACCACTGCCTCTGCCATCTTCTTGACATCCAAATCGTCACAGGTGTCCCTCAGCTAGACACCAACGCCCCCTTCACCCTGTCCCCGCTGGACACGGGCGTCCCTTCCGAAAACGCTCAACTCTTTGCAAACAACCCTCTTTGAGACTCCCTCTTGCCAGGCCTCGACCACCCAAGACCCCCCCCCCAAGCTGGCCCAGACGCCCTCCCCTTACCTGCGGGGGCTCAGCCCTCACTGACAGGGGGCTGGGCAGCGCCTGGAGGAGCAGGAGCGCCATGCCACCCACGAGCCTTCTCCTCTCCATCCCCCTCCTGCTCCTGCTCCTCCGCCACGGCGCCGCCACCCCTCCTCCTCCCTCTCTTCTTCCCTCTGCTTCCTTCTTCCCTTCTTTTCCTGTTTCGCTCTCCCCTCCCGCTTCCGGCTCCGCTCCACCCCGCCCCAGGCAAAATGCCCTCCCAGATGCGGAGGAGGGTCTCCAGCTCCCGGGCCTCATTGGCTCCTAATTTTCGTCCATTGGTCAACATAGCTGTGCGTCACCTACCAGTCCCAGCCCACCTCGTGCTGCGGTGAGTCAGCCAATGAAAAGTGGGAGGAAGCCGGGCCATCTTGAATGCTGCGAGGTGTGCAGGAGAGCCGTGCGCCCCGCCCCGCAGAGAGTGGCGGAAGTAAAGGGGCCTGGGGAATGACCGCCCGGACGCGCTGAAAAGGATGACCCCGTGTAGCCATTTTGAGCGTGGCGGAAGTGCTAGGTTCCCACGCTTCAGGGGTGGTGCAGTTCTGAAGAGTGAAGCAATTGCAGCCGAAGGCACTTTAGTACAGGCAGCCCTATCATCAGAATCCCTTTTTCAATTCCACTACCCATGCAGCAGCTTAGAATCTGAATTCCCTATTAAATAACACCTCTATTAGCGACAGTGCTCTGCCATCTCATGTTTCCAGGACAATATTTCTTGTGGCTCTCCTCAGAAACAGCTGATAGCCACTACTCGCTGCTTCACTCGTGATATCGTCCAGTTAAATGGAAATGGCTTCCCTCTGCTCAGCAGAGTCGCCAGTCCTCCACGCTCTCAAACCCCATCCACACACCGCAATGACAGTCCACACAAACCCAAACATCATTTACTATGTAGCAGCTTCACCTTTGAGAACACTTGTCCGGCTGCGAGGGGGATGTGCCTGTGATAAATGGCTTGCATAGGCTAGCCCTGAGCTCAGACCGCAGTACGGACCTAAGAAAAGGAGAAGTGGAAGAGATACAGGGAGGGAGGGAAGGAAAAAAAGAAAGAAAGAAATCTAAGACTAGACTTCAATTATTTACAGGATGCATTAGGTTAGGGTTTTTGCTTGTTTGTTAATGTGGGTCTCCCCATGTCCATGCTAGCCAGGAGCTAAGTAACTCCCTGGCCTCAAAGTTGTAGTAGTTTTCCTGCCTCAGCCTCTCACATGCTGGGATTGTCTCTATCTTAATCTCCCCCCACCAGGGGCTATAAAATGCAACTGGTATCTCTGTCAGTCTCTAGTTCATTCATCCATCTGTCAAGTGAAGCCCCTTAGAAAAGTAAAGATTGACCGGTCGGCAAAAGCCAAATTATTTTCACGCCACAGTATCTCCTAACTGTGGCCAGGCATATTCACCAATGGGAGACTCTAGTTCATTTCCTCTGTTTATATGAAAATTACCGTTAAAAAGAAATACAAAACCCTTCACATCTGGGTTAGTGGTTCCCATGCAAAGCCCCCCTATTTGTTATAATGCCTTTCAACATCCTACAGGCCAGTTCAAAGAAGGCAGGAGTGTTAGAAAAGGAGGATGACATGCATTCAGAGTGCCCTGGACTGGAGATGACCGATCTCAACAGCTGTACATGTACCCAAGAATAGACCTCAATAACCGTGCATGTACCCGAGGACAGACCTCAACAGCAGTACACGTACCTGACACTAAGGTCTTGGGACTTCAAAGGAAAATCAACTCATCTCAAAGTCCTCCTAACCACAACATAATCCGAAAAGGAGCTTTCCGAAAGAAAGATGATCTGAGCTGCACAGTGGTGGTGCACACCTTTATCTCAGCACTCAGGAGGCAGATCTATCTATCTGAGTTCGAAGTCAGCCTGATCTACATAGTGAGTTCCAGGACTGCCAGGGCTGCATAGAAAGACCCTGTCTCAAAAATAAAAAATCATCTGTGAGCCCAGACATGCCAAGAGGCTTGCAGATCTAGAAAGCTAAGTGAGGGCTGCTCCTTCCAGAGGCTCCAGTGAGGGCTGCTCTTTCCAGAGACTCCAGTGAGGCCCACTCTTTCCAGAGGCTCCAGTGAGGGCTGCTCTTTCCAGAAACTACAGTGGGAATTTTCTCAAGTTGATGTTTCTTTTCCAGTTTGTCTTTGGAATAGAAAAGCTGAAGCCAGAGCCGGCTGAAAAACAGACTTTTCTGCTCATGTACCAGCCAACATCACATTTTCCACGTTAGAACATAAAGGAAACCTGGAAACATACTGAGAGAGAAGCCAGAAACAGAAGGCCCATACTGTGCTTTGATTGACAATAAGTGTCTAAAGCAGGCAAATCTGGAGACAGCAAATGGATGGAGGGTTGGAAGGGGTGGGGTCTGTCAGAATGAGGCGTGGCTGCTGATGGTAATGAAGGTGTTCTAGATTACAGTAAGGACAACTATAGAACTTTGTGACTGGACTGAAAGCTACTAGATCATAGGGTTTAGAAGGATGAATGGAGTTGCTCAGCTGTAATCTCATCACTTACATGTCTGGGGTGAAAGGCTGAGGCCTGCATAGCCTGGGCTCCATCAAAAAGGAAACATCACTTTCAAGGTATGTGGGTTACATTTTACTTTTTAATATGGGCGTGGGATTAAATTGCAGCTGAGATTTTAGCGTCAGATACACACTCTCCTTTCAGTGCAACTGCATCTTCGGGTTCCACCTCAGACCCATAGAACAGGAAGCTAGGTCCACCTGGGTGTTCACTCTTCAGGTGACCCCAGTCCCCCCCCCCCCCCCCCCGTCAAGGCAGGGTCTTTATATTGCCCTGGCTGGCCTGGAACGAGATATGTAGAGCAGGTAGCCTCAAACTCATGAAGCTCCATCTGCCTCTGCTTCCCAAGTGCTGGAATTAAAGACATGTCCTGCAGGTCTAGTATTTGTTCCTGAAAGCCAGTTTCAGGGTAGGGGAAGCAGATGTTAAAAGTCTACATGACACATATACAATGTCACATGTCTCATACATTAGTTGTTCTCTCTTTATAATCCTTTAAGAAGCGTAAGAGCATGTTTAGCTCCCATGTGCACACACACACACACACACACACACACACACAAAGACAACAGTGGAGCCGGTAAATCTGACCGATGGCCACGGTGCACTGATTCCAGCCCTAAGGCAACACATATCCCACAGGTAGACCTGTGGAACATCAGGACAGGCGAGTGAGTTCTTCTCATTAGGGGACTGAACGATGGTCTCCAAGCATCAGGCAGGCTCCCTTATAGTTGTGATATCCTCTGGCATGCCAAGGCCAAAGCTAAACAGACAGTGGTTCCTGCTTTCCATCAGGAGCTAGCAGCTTAGTTTGCAGACAGAATTTCATGTTCTTTCAAATCATTTATTCAGTTCATAATGATGAGTTTGGACAAGGTCACAAATTTTGCCAGACAAAATTCATATCCACATTGGCCCCAGGTAAGCCACAGTCCCCGAAGGCTGAAGGAATAAGGCAGGAACTAAAGTTGCCCTTTGCTGTGTCTCCTGAGGCTCTTTGGTCCTGGTGGATTTCCTCTCAGAGGGATCTGAGTACAGCTCCCTGACCCATCAGCACACACCAGGCTCTTTGGTATCTGACTGAATGGGCTGAGGAAGGGAGGCTGCCAGGATAGGATTCCCACTGGAATGTGTGGCAGGTGCCTTCACTCACAGTGAAGGACTTGTAAAACAGAGAAGGCAATTAGAGAAGAGACTTCTCTCAAAATAAAGGTCCCAGAAATGGATCTGGATGTGATATCAAGACAGAATAAAGTCATTATCGAAGGGATAGAACTTGATGCTCCACAAAATTTGGTGAAATGACTATGTACACTTTTTTGTTTTGTTTTGTTTTGTTTTTCAAAACAGGATTTTTCTCTGTGTGACCCTGGAACTCACTCTGTAGACTGGGCTAGGCTCCAATTCAGCAATCCTCCTGCCTCTGCCTCCTGAATGCTGGGATTACAGAAGTGCATCCCCACCCCGACCCCATACACTCTTAAGTTTCTTTGGACCTGGTGGATTTCTGCTCAGAGGTACCTCTTTCCTATCAGTATATCAGTACCTCTTTCCTACAGTCTCTTTGGTATTTGTCCAGCTGTTTGTCTTTTTCAGTACAAATGACTCTAAATGCTGAAAACTCAGATCCAGCAACATTCCCAATGAGGCATCTAAGTCGGGGCACAATGGGGAAGGGAATAATGAGTTCCTAAGGGCCTACACACCAGTCCCTCTTCTCTTCCCGATAGGAAGCTGGAGAGATAGCTCAGCAGGTAAGAGCGGAGGCTGCTCTTCCAGAGGACCTGGGTTTGATTTCCAGCACACACGAGGCTCACAGTGGTAACTCCAGCTACAGAGGACCTGACACCCTCTTCTGACCTCTGTGGACACTGTACACAGAGACAAATAGATGAAGGCGAACCCCCACACACATAAAATAAAGATAAATGATAAAAAGCCTTTCAGAATCATAGAGGTGTCTCCCTTGCTTGGGAAGGAGGAAGTGGGAGGAAAGAGGAAGGGGACTTAGTCCATCTATGGTCTTGACTGGAAAAGATTCACGAGTTTCCTAATTACTCCAGATTATGTAAGTATAAAAGTATCTCCTGAGAAGGCCTCGGCTTCTGGACCCAAGGGACAGGAGTCAAGGACAAAGCAGACAGAATACGTCTGTCCTTCATCCCTCACTTTTTTGAGACAATGTCTCTAACTCAGGCTAGCCTGAAATTGCCCATGTAGGTAAGGTTGACTTGGAACTTTTTTTTTTTTCTTCCAGACAAGGTTTCTTTAGGCAGCCCTGGCTGTCCTGGACTCCTTCTATATATCAGGCTGGCCTCAAACTCACAGAGATCTGCCTGCCTCTGCCTCCGAGTGCTGGGATTAAAGGCGTGCACCACCACTTACCCCCAGACTTTGCACTTCTAATCCTCCTGCCTACCTCCCATGTACAAGAATCACCAGCGTATAAAACCATGCCTGAATCACATAGTGCCAAGGGTTGGGTCCAGGGCTCTGAGTGGGTGCTAGGCAAACACTCCCAACTGAGTTACACCCTACCACCACCTCCATCCCCTCTTGAATTTTTGTTCTATGGTCCAATAAATTAGGTAACTGTCTCCCTCCCCACCCACCTACTCTATTTTCCAATCTAGCCTGGCTCAGACCTTACTGCAAGAGGAATGTGGACACAGGTATGCACAGCTGCCAGGAAAAAGCTGGTCCATCCAGGGTTGGTCCTTGCAGGCTCGGGCACTTAGAGACCCTTATTAAAGTAGACAAAGAGGGCTTGTTCTCCGTACTTGGCCTTGACGGTGTTCTGTAGCTCTGGTTCTAGATAGGACACTGGTAATTCGCTGAAACGGAAACCAGAAGCGGGTTATGAGGATGCTACTACCTAAGATAATCAGCAATTTACCCTGAGAAAAAAAAGCCCATCCCACATGTCCCCTCTAAGAAGCCCATCCTAGTTTGCACTAATTATCAACTCTATGAAGCCTAGAATCACCTGAAGAGTCTCACTGTTTCTATCAAGTTCACCCGTGCGCACATCTGTGAGGAACTGTCGATTATTGAATGACATGGGAGCATTCGCAGACTATGGGCGGCACCATTCCCTATGCAGGTGGCCTTGGGCTCTATGAGAAAGCGAAGCATGAGCCTGTGTGAACAAGCCAGCAAGCACCATGCCTCCATGGCTTCTGCTTGAAGCTCCTGTTTGAGTTCCCGCCCAACACAGATGTATTAGCCAAATGAATCCTCCCTCCCCAGGGAACTGTCTCCCTGAAAGAGATTTCACACAGTTCTACAGGATAGGACCCCAAAGACAGACTTAAGGACTCACTGGATCTATTTGTCCCTCTTCCCAGTGTGGCCACACTGAATAAAATTTATTCTGCTTCACACACACACACACACACCAACTAGCCAATCAGAAAACAACCCAAACACCTGGGGTTGGAGAGCTGGCTTCTATGTCAGGCAGTTCAATTCTGCCCATAACTCAAGGCCCTCTTACGGCCCTAGCTAACACCAGCAGATAGACACACAGCACATAGCTGTGAATAAAACAAATCCTTCTTCCCCTAAGTTGCTGTTAGTCATGGTTTTCCTCACAGCAACAGAAAGAAACAGCAGAAACCATTCCGATTGTTAACGATAGCCCTCTATTGTGTGTGTGTGTGTGTGTGTATGTGACATGTAACTGAAGGCCAGAGAGTAACCTCAGGTGCCTTTCTCAATTGTCCTCCATTTTATTGGGGGGGAAGGGGGGGTCTCTCATGGAACCGGAAACTCACTGACCTAGCTAGGCTGGCTGGCCAGGGAGCCTCAGGGATCTACCTGCCCCAGGAAAACACTGGGGTTAGGAGCATATACCACTGCCCGCAGCTTTTCTACGTGGGCTTCGGGTGTTCTAACTCAGATTCTGGGGTTTGCACGCAAGCACTTTACCAACTGACCCATCTCCTCAGACCTTTTCTTAAGTTCTTCGAGACAGGGTTGGAGAAAAAACAAAACAAAAATGTTTTTAACTTCTTTTGTTTGCTAGGGTCCATATATCCCAGGCTCGCCTTGAACTCGTGATCCTCCTGCTTCAAGCCCACGACCTACCCTCAGTGTGAGACCGCAAGTTCCAACTACACGCTCACCTAATTCCTGATTTTCACAGCCAAAATTATCATCGGCCTCTGTTTGTCAGACCAAATGTTACATTTTACCTCTAGTTCATTCTACCTGGGTAGACTACAGTTCCTGAGTTAAGCATGTGTCTTCTCCACAAACTTCTAAGCACAGTGCTTAGGACACAGGAAGTGACCGGTAGATGGCCAATGAACCCCAGAGGGTGGAGAACGCTACTATCTCAGGTCAGACACAAGCTTCCCTGCTTCCTGGAACCGGCCTCCAGCTGACCCTCGGCTCATGTCCCTTTCCCATCATCCATTCTCCCACCCTCCCCTCCAGGAAACACGGAGGAAGCAGAGAGGAAGAGGTTCATACACAGACCCAAACACCAGCCAGAAAAAGCAGATTAAATGCCTTATTCAGCTTTAAAGACCAGATCCAGAAGAGACCTTGCTAACGCTCAGCTAGCAGTCAGGAAACCTCCTGCTGTCCCCACCATCCCTCTAAGGTACTGGGTGGGAACAAATTGTACTCCTGGGTTCTCCCCAACCCCAGAGACCTGGCTGGTGTGCTCTTCACCCCTCATTAAAAGGCCAGAGTTTAGGCAGATGGGTACTTGACCTTAGAAACATTCTCTTTCCTGCCCATCCCTCTCTCTCAGCAGGTCAGTTGGAGAGCAGTAGCAGAGTGATTGATAAAGCAGGCAACAAATGGCTGATACCATTCCTGAGGGAAGAGCCCACACGCCACTGGTACCATGAAGAGGAGGCTGACAAAAGGAGAAGAGTGTTAGGGACTTGCCCCTGAGCCCACACCTGGCCTGCCTTCCCTCCTGCCCTTCTCTCCTCCTGTTTTATGCTGAGACAGGGTTGTGCAGACCAGAGGCAAGAACAGCTGAGGTGACCCTGACCTATGGACCCTGCTGCTCCTGCCTCTGCTGAAAGGACATACCTGGGTGCCACCACCCTGGCTGGGAATTGAACCCAGGGCCTTGTGCATATTGTCAAGCACTCCACCACAGGGCTATTCCAGAAAACCCATGTGTCCCTCCCCCATCGCTCCAACCTCCACTTCACAGCAGTATTCAAACAGGGGAATAAAATGATGATGTAACGAGGAGAGTAAACAGCAGACTCCAAGGTCACAGGCGCCTGTGCCACACAGGGGAAAGAACTCTCACCAGGAGGCTATAATTGACGCTATCTGGCCAGGGCACGCTCCTAAGGACACGTGTGCCATGTGCGGCTGGGATGCCCAACAGCCCCAACCAGCCTATGCCCCCACCCCCCGTTCTTATTTCTTCTCTAAAACTGCTCTAGACCCAAGGGAGAGGGGGAAGAACTCCAGCTCAGACATCTGGGTGCCGGGATACGGCATGTGCTCAGCCTGGCCACTTCTGAACAGGTCAGAAGACAGGCTGTGGGTGTCCCCGCCGGCAAAGAGGCCAAAGCATCACAACGAGATACTCACAAGCACCCACACAACAAGACCTGCAGCGGGGCGTGCAGCACTTTCACTTTCTGCACAAGACAGAGAAAAAAAACAACAGATGAAGAGACTCACAAGGTGCTTGGATACCTTACAGCAGGCCCCGTGCCTACCCCACCAGCTGAGCCAGAGGCTGGGACCTGCTGCCCTGAGAGGGAGAAGAGATTCTCCCGGCTCCCTGCAGCCCAGGTCGGGGAATGGAGGCCGGTAGCAGCTGGCACAGGCTCTGCCTGAGTAAGGTGGGAAAGGAGAGGAGGCCCAGTTTCTGGGGGACCACAGCCAGGGAGAGCCCACCTACCTTCATCACGTGCAGCCTCTCCAGCCTCTCCATGACGACCGGTAACAAGACTGGAAGACACAGAGGGGCTGAGAGGAGGAATGGCACGCTCCCCGAGCCCCACTGGGGCTATCAGGTCACAGCCTGAGGGGGTTGCCATCTCCCAGAAGCTCCAGAAAATACTTGCCATTGGGAGAAAAACAGAGGCTGCACAGGCATCCCTCCACACTCCCCCCAAGCCCCAGGGAAACCGTGCTTCCCGAAAACACGGTCCCCAGCAGTAGAAGGCAGACACCGCCACTGGACCCAAAGCCTCCTTCTCAAAATGAAAAATGCTTGGCAGGCTCACACAAACAAATCTGTATCCTACTCTGCAATCTGTCCCTGCAGGGAACAAGAGTGAGCCATTGCCACTGTCTCCCAGACACCCCCACATTACTTAGTGAATATTAGCTAAACGACGTTAACTTGCTCTCCCAAACCAGACGAACTGACAGAAGACCACGTGGGCTTTCAGCTCTCACCGAAACCAGCTTGGGAAGGTGTCCCGCGTCCCACTTGAAAGCCGAGGTAACTGAGGCCTCTACTAAGTGTTCAAGGGTTCCCCCCAAAAAGGAGGCCTTCCCATCTTACTCATGCCAGGGGCTGCCATGGTGATCCGAGAAATAACCACTTGGGTGATGCCCACAGCTGCGGCTCTCTGAGGGCAGAGAGGAGTCATCAGGGATCGGTCATCTAGAGTACACAGGCTATGCTACAGAGGGAAGTGGGGGTGGAGGGGATGGCCAAGTCTAGCAGGTAAAGGGATGGGGTGACCCCCCAGGAGTCAATGGCATTACCCAACCGTCCCACCTGAAATGATGCAGGAAGACTGTCTGAACAAAGAAACAGGGGAGGGAGCGTTCTCAAACCCGTAAGAGCACCCAGGTCACATGTGACACCACCTAGGAGGGGACAGGGCCTGAGGGGGGAAGTTTCCCCTCTACTTACCTGAGAATGGCCAAGCTCATTTTGGTTCCTGTCCTTCACACAGATGCCCTGGATGAGTTCCCTAAACAAACGGAAGTTTCCGGGCTTTAGGGAGTAGGGGCTGGGAATCTGCCTGGCACCTGACACGTCAGGTCACCAGCGTCAAGGCACTGACGCAGGAGGAGGAGCCCTCCTGCAGCCTGGCCCTTCAGCCTCCCTTCTTCCTTCCAGTGAACGGGATCTCAGATGCGATCATGAGCGGTGGCTAAGAAGAAAGCCCTGGATCCATGCTGTCTTGGCAGATTCCTGAATCTGAGGTTGTACGTGTGACCTTGAGAATGGCCTTTAGCCCTTCTCAAACCTCAGTCTTCCTCACATGGAGAATGGGGATAATCCTGGCACCTAATTCATGGAGCCTAATGAGAGTTACTGGAGCTACTGGCCAAGTTCTGAGGCCGGAGCCTGACTTGTAATCCATCCCCCAAACAGCAGCTTTTCTGTTCTTAGCCGCCCTCTTGATTTCCCTCTGTTGGAGCCCAGAATGGCTTCTTTTTTTCTTTCTCCTCGCCATACTGGGTACTGAGCCCAGAGGCTCACACATACTAGACAAGGAAGACTACTGAGCTGTACCCCCAGCCCAGTTTCTTTTCTTTTCCTTTTTGTATTTTTCTGGAATATAAGTGACATAAGGGGGGAGGGGGGCCAGAGGTTAAGAGCACTGGCTGCTCTTCCAGAGGTCCTGAGTTCAATTCCCAGCAACCACATGGTGGCTCACAACCATCTATAGTGAGATCTGGTGCCCTCTTCGGGGCACACATGGGGGCAGAAGACTATAAATAATAAATACATCTTTTTTAAAGAGTGACATAAGGACTGGTTATCTCTGATGCCACTGCCATCACTGTAACTACAGCCACATTTTGTTGGCAAATGAAGGTTTGCCATAGCAGCCGCTGAAGGAAGAGCTTGCAGAATGGCATGTGGACATCTCTCCACTCTACTTTCCTGTCCCTGCCTGGCTTTCCAAGCAGAGGAGTGACTGTGGCTCCCTGCCTGGTTTCCCAGCACTCCAGAGGTAGAGGCAGGAGACCATTGCAACTCAAGGCCAGCCTGGACTCCACCGTGAGCTCCAGGCCAACCAGAGCTCTAAAACAAAAACAGCCCTGCAGAGATGTAAGAGCACACACAGCTTTTGCACAGGACCCAGGTTCGGTTCCCGACACCCACCTTGGGCGGCTCACAGCTGCTGTAACTCCGGCTCCCTGGGCATCCACTGAGTCCAGCCTCCGTGGGCGCCTGCACTCACATGCACATAACTAGCCAGAAAATCCTTATCTAGGCATGATGGCCTACGACTTTAGTCCCAGAACTCAAAAGGCAGAGGCAGGCGGATCTCCGTAAATCCAAGCCCATCCTGGTCTACATAGTGAGCTCTCAAGTCAGCCAAGGATACAGAGTGAGTGCCTCTCTCTGAAGACAAAAACAAAAACCACTCTAAAAAGAAGACAGGAACCAGAACCTGTAAGATACCATCGGTTTCTGTATTACCCCTTGCTGAGTCAGGCTCTGGGCCACACCTGTCTCCTCCCTGCTTCCCTCAGAGCGTCTGGATACTGTTCTAGCATTCAGTGCTCAGTTCTGCCACACTGCCTCCAGTAAGCTGTCCTAAGAGTTTGGGGTAGAGTTCACAGCTCTGGCATTCTTTCACCTAGACAGGATCTAAGCTTAGAATGTAGCTTTAGGTACAGAGCACTTACCTTACTTGCGCAAGGCATTGGGTTCAATCCCCAGCACAACCAATAAAAAAATGACTGGCCCATAGGTCCATGATTAACCCACCTCACTCAACACCAGATACACTAAATCTGAATCACCCACCATTCTTGGGGCCACTACAGAGGAATGGCGGCCCTTGAGGACCTCTCAGAGGCTGGGCCCAACGGTCTTCTCTGTACCGCTCAGTCCCAGGAAGCTCACGGCCTTGGCTCCCTTCCCTTCCCTGCTAACCCTGTGGGGAAGGAGAACAAGGCTCCCTGTACTCACTGCTGTCGCATCATTGGGATATTAACACAGTTAGCTGCAGCCACGGCGGCAAAGGGCACCCATCGGCCCACCAAGGGTGGAGCTCTCTGTTGAAGGCAGGGAGGGAACAACGGAAGTTATTCAAACTCATGCGGAAGATGAAGGTGGAGAAGGCTTTGGATTATACAGAAGAGAGGCAATTAAACACTGCTACTGACATATGTCCAGTCATCCACTCTGGGATCCTCAAACTTCTGAGCCACGAAAGCTGTTTTCTCTAGAACTTTGCTGCCCTCTGGTGGCCAGTGTGCCCACAGCACCCCAGCCGCACATACCTTTGTCCACATGTTCATGCCCACTGCAGTGGCCACCGCAGTGGTTGTAGCTGTGAAGTAGGAGAGCGCCATCTGCCTAGTGGAAGAGAAACGCCAGGTGGATGAATGAGCAGGTGTTGGAAGTGACATCCACAGCGGCTCAGGCAAGGCCTGGGGCGTGAGTGAGAAGCTCTAGTAATGGGGCTTCAGGGCCCGTGTGACCTGTCTCTAGAACACCTCAGACCCCTTACTCCCATCACTCAATGCCTAGCACCCTTGGTCCTCTTTCAGTGCCTTAAACACATCACACTTTCTCCTGACCCTGCACCAATACATATATATTGCTCTTCCCCGTCTAGAGAACCCTTCTGGGCTCCTACATGCCCGAATTCTTTTACTGTCTAGTTTTATATCAACTTAATACAAGCTAAAGGCATCTGAGAGGAGGGGCTCTCAATCAAGAAAACGTCTCCATAAGATCGGGCTACAGCAGGCCTTTAGCGCACATTCTTAATTAGCGACTGATGGGGAGGGCCCTGTGTGCCATGGGTGCTGCCACCCCTGGCTGGTGGTCCTAGGTGGAAAGCAGGCTGGGCATGCCAGAGGGAGCAAGTCACTAAGCAGCACTCCTCCTCGGCCTCGGCATCAGCCTGCTTGAGTTCCTGCCCTCCTCGCTTTTGATGATAAACTCTTATATCAAACAGTGAGTGAAATAAACCCTTTCCTCCCCATGTTGCTTTTCATGCTGGTGTTTCACCACAGCAACTCTAAGACAACCCTTTATCTTCCAGGGCCCACATGAACGCCATCTCTACAGAAGAGACTTCCTGGGGGCCTGTCTGAACAGGTCTCCACTGTTGTTTCCCTGCCCTGTCACACACGCATCTCTGTAACGGCAGCAGTGGCAAGCTGGACCACCACAGACTTTTCTGCATGTTTCTGCGATGCAGAACAAACTGGCCTTGAACTCACAGAAGTCTGCCTGCCAATTTGTTACATCCTAAACAAGCTGTCTTACTCGTCAAAGAATCGTGAGCTTCTAGAGCTTTCCTGGCATGTGATACACACTCAGAAAGGTTTTGGGACAGGAGAGAGGGCTTAGTGGTTAAGAGGACTTGTTGCTCTTCTGGAGTACTCAAGTTCAATTCCCAGATCCCACACTTGATGACTCACAACCACCCGTGATCCCAACTCCAAAGTATATAACTCCCTCTTCCGGCTTCTGCAGGCATCTTCACACATGTGATAAACAGAAACACAGAACACACACACACACACACACTTTTTTTGTTTTGTTCTTAAGATGGGGTCTCACCATGTAGCCCAGGCTGGACTGAAACCACAGAGATCCCCTTGCTCTGCCTCCTGAGTGCTGAAATTAAAAGTGTGAGCCACCATACCCAGCCCAGTTTTTGTTTTTTATTTAAAAATTATGTATATATACATGTATGCTTGCACACCCATAGGGGTCAGCTCCCCTGGAACTGAAGCACTAGATATGGGTGCTAGGAATTGGACTTGGGCACTCTGGAAGAGCAAGACATGCTCGTCGTTGTCGTCATCATCATCATCATCACCATCATCATGCCTGCTGGCCAGAAGAGGGCACCAGATCTCATCATAGATGGTTATGAGCCACCATGTGGTTGCTGAGAATTGAATGCAGGACCTCTGGAAGAGCAGCCTGTGCTCTTGACCTCTGAGCCACCTCTCTAGCCCACAGGACATGCTCTTAACTACTGAGCTATCTCTAAAGCTCAGGACTACTTGCTGTCCTTGCAGAGGACCCAGGTTGGGTTCCCAGCACCCACCTGGTGGCTCACAACCAATTTTAGGGGATCCAGTGCCTTCTTCTGACGTCTGCAAGCACCAGGTACACATGTGGTGCATATACACAGACACACAGACATACAATAACATATTTAAATCCAAAAAGTAAACATAAATAAATCTTTTTAAAAAGAAAAGAACATATTAGTCAAATGAATGGACACTTTGAAATGGTCTGGGGAAAAGATACTCTCAGTTGGTCTGAATATTTCAAACACTGGGAAAAGGCAGCCTGGCCACCTGGCCAGAGGGGCCACTCAGGAAGGAATGACAGTGCAAGAGCAGAAGGGTTGTTCCTGGGAGGCAAGAGGACAACAGGTCTCCTACCTGACGGATGTGGGGGAGGCCGCATTCCTGTTGGTGTAGTTGACTAAGGCATTGAAGGATTGGTTCACCCACTGCCAGAAGACGACCGCAGGCATTGTCCTACAAGCAAGGGAGAGCAGGGGAGACAGAAGAGAGGGCTGGGGTGTGCCGGGCACCCAGCACCTGCAGTTCTCTAAGCCATTCCCATTCTTACTTATGACCCTGGGCTTTTGGATGAGAACGTCTCTGCCTGGAATCACCCCTCTTCCTTTCACACAGGGGCAAAATCGTGCTCTGTTGAGATGCTCTTAGTCTTGGAACTGTTCTGGCCCTCTTCTGCCCCTCCTGAGAAAAACATTCCATGTGTCCAGTTCCCATGTCTCAAAATTCTTCCCCAACCTACAACTTCCCAATCTCCATACTGCTCTGTGTCCCCACGAGGGAACACCCTGACGTCCTTAATCCCTGGTGCATGGCCCAAGGCGTCACCATCAACTAAGTAAGTGAATATTGAGGCTTAGAAGACTCAGAGGGAGGAGGGAGGAGGAAGAGAGTCATACACCAAATGCTACTTCCAAAGGCCTTTTCGTTTATCACTTGGATGTCACCTTTGGAACATAAACCCCTGAGTTCTAGCCCAAGGTCCCACATGGAAAGAGAAAATACTTCTGTTAAGTTGTCCTTTGACCTTCATACTCTCACACATATGGACACAATTGCGTGCACACTTGCACACACATAGGCATACACGCACATACGCACACACAAATACTGTAGAATGTACCCCCGCTTAACACACACACAATAAAATAAACAAATGTAATTTTGGCTTTTCGAGACAGCAGCCCTGGCTATCCTGGACTCACTTTATAGACCAGGCTGGCCTTGAACTCACAAAGATCTGCCTGTCTCTGCCTCCAAATGCTGGGATCAAAGATGTGCACCACCACCACCACCACCACTGCCTGACAAGAGTTTTTTTAAAAAAAGACTTAATCCTCTAATTCAAATACTCTAGAGGCAGAGGTGGGTTGAGTCTCTGTGGATTCAAAGTCAGCCTAATCTACACAGAGTTCTGTAGTGAGAATTTTGTAACTTTGGTTTTAAAAACACAAAAATGTTGTTGGACTACATTTTCCTTGTAATGCCAGGTGCGGGGCTAAGAGGCCGCTTCCCAGCAGGTGACTGTGATTTGCCGTGTGCCCTGTCAGGAGCGTGGTTTTAGCTTCTGTGAGTGTGTGATGTTTGGAATTCTGGGAACTGTTTAGATGTGTAAATCCTAGGGCACCAAGGGGTAGGTTCGCTGTGGTCGGCCGGTTGGTGGTCGATTGCCGTTGGTTGCGGTTTGTCAAGTAGTCATGGGCAAAGAAACAAGAAGAAATTAGATTTCCTGACGGCAAAGATCAAACGTGCCCCAAGGAACGCCCCTAATCAGTAGGAAGTAGTTTAACGATAACTTCACTCCCTTTCTCCTCTATCCTTTTTTTTCTCCTATCTAGTGTTAGGGGGTTAGTAAGGTTGGAGAAGGGTGGAAGAGAGCAAAAGTAACCCACAAAATAGAAAAAACTTCAGCTACCGAGTTCTAGGTAAGCTAGGGCTACATAGTGAGACTCCCAAAATAACAGTAGCAGTGATAGTAATAGTAATTAATAATAATAATAATAATAATAATAGATTTAGGGTGGATAGCCTACTGATTCACAGAGGTCTGTTTCCATCATCATCAGGCCCCTATGGTTCTGACTATGGTCATGAACTGTTACTTAGCCTCCAGAACCATCTAGCAAAGGGACATGGCAACAGCACCTATGTGTTGGGCTGCAGAGAGGGCAAAACGGCCATTCATGCAAGAACTTAGCACAGGGCCCAGTATCTGGTGAGTGATTGATCAGAACTGTCATGACAGGCGGTTCCCTGCCTAGCCTGGCCCCTGCTCCATCTTGGGACTCACCTGTAGAACTGGAGCATGAAGCCTGTGATGAGCATGCCGCCGGGGACCTGGAAGGACATCCGCCCGATGACGTTCATCTTCTCCCCGGTGTCAGGGTGGAAGGCCGAGTCATACAGCTTCTTCGCATACAGCAGCTGCTCCACCTGAGTGCCGGGGGGCACAAGCCCCATCCTGTCACCCAAGGACACCAGCAGTGACCACCCTGCCTTCCCGAGACCCCTGCCAGCTCCTTCACTGTTCTCCCTCCCCTAGAGATCCCAGCAGTGTTGTGCTGGTGCCTGCAGCCCCTCCCCCGCCACCCACTCACCTGCTCTTCTCCACCATCACCTTGGCCCAGTCCAGCTCCTGCTCTGATGCAAAGACAGTACGCGGATCGGTGATGTTAAAAAAGTGTTTCACACGCCCTAGGAAGGTGCCCTGATCCCAGCGGGGGGCATCGATGTTAAAGCCAGACAGGTCAGCCTCCATATTGTTCACGTGAAAACTGCAGACTTAAGGAACAAGGAAAAATGAGAGCCAACCCCTAAGTTTGCTCCAGAGGCCCTGGCGCTTTCGTCAGACCCTAGGCACCTCCTGTGATGATCTAGGGCCCCCTAGGAATGGTGATCAAACAAAGCAATTGCCAGCCAACGTTTCCTGGATCCATGTTAGAGGCCAGCCCTGTACTTGCTTACACTCAGGGAGTCAGCGTCTGCCCCAAGGGGGCACAGTCTGACTCAGCAATGAGAACTCACCAAGAGCTAACAGAACATGGGACACCTAGCAGGGAGACAGGAAAAGTGGCCATTCTGAAATAGAAGCTCTCTGCTCTTCACCAGGCTTGCCTTCAGAGAAACTCTTTACCACAGCCTGAGCACCATGGCAGCGAAGACAGTGCAAAGAGGGTGAGCGAGGTGCCCAGGCACGTCGCGTCTGCAGTCAGGAAGCAGAGAGATACATGCTGGTGCCCAGTCTCCTTCAGCCTTCCCACCTCACCCTGAGGGGCTGGAGAGTCGGCCAGAGAATCATCTGTAGAAAGGGCGCAGGCTATCCAGGAGACAGGGCCAACATTTGCCTGATCTCAGCAGCTTTCTAAAGCCTTGGCATAAGCATTCCCAGCCTGTCACGCTTGCATTTTGGAGGCCTGGAAATCCACAAGGACCACGGTAATCCTATATGGAGATCAAGCTATTCCGGCTCCTTCCATCCCCAGCCGTGTGGTCTCTGTGCACCCTGGCCACCAAACTTGGGAGAACGATTCCGATTCCGGAAATGGTTGTTCTAAGCAGCAGGGGCTCTCTCCTTTCAACTAAATTTGCAATTTAACAAAGTGAAGCCTTGATGGGTAAACTGTCCTGAGGCATCTTTCTTACTATCCATCCCAGTGAAAGGAGCAGGGACTTCTCTTTAGTGGCACTGTCTCTAACAATTACATAGCTACTTTCTCGGGATTAGCCTGTCACCCTCTACTTCTTACCATCCTGCTTTCTCTCTCTCTGTGTAGGTCTAAGATCAGAGCGCAGTAACCACAACACAGCCTAGATGTTACGCTGTTTTCAAACTTCCACCAAACAATTTAGCTAATTACTTTCTAACAGCCTCACTCAGACTTTTAAGTTATGAGCAGAATGTATATTGATGGCCAGAATGTAACAGAAATGATTTCTCCCCCTGTTCCCAGTGGGGTCCTTGTTTCCTTCTGGAAACTGACAAGGCAGGCTTCCACTATCGGCATTTCTCTTGGCTTTCTCGTGTTTCACTCCAACCAAAATGGCCCATTGGGTTCTGCTTATGGCACCGAGGATTCGGTTCTCTCCTTCCACCGTGTGGGCCCTGGGAATTGAACTGAGGTCATCGGGTTCGCGTCCTTCACTGAAGTCAAGACAGGACGAAGACAGACCTTGTTTTCTGTTTTTGTTTTTAATAAACTATAATGTTCCCTTCCAAATTTACAGTGTGCATCTGAAACATCCACCCGAAGAGCAAAGTTTCCTGATGCCTTCAGGTAGACTTCAGATCCTTCTGTCCACAGCATCCTGGGATTTTATCACCGTGTGTGCAGTACCTGCCTCCCCCGACAGACTGTGAAGACCGTTAGTACTGCGACCACGTCTAGAACAGTCAGTTCTCTACCTCTCACATGCCCCCTGAAAACAGTCGGAAGTACATCTCCGTTTATCTTGGGGTCTCTTGACACTTCTAGGTCAAACTCAGAACTGGCCTTGGTCACACAGTAAGAGCTTTCCTGAAGTTAGTTACAAATGATTAATTCTACCAGTACCAAGCTATATGTGATCTCCTGATGCCTCCTCCCCCACAAGCTACACCCAGTCCTCCTTGGGACATCTGCTGAACCCATGGCCGAGACCAAAGGCTTCTGGCAGAAAGAAAGGTAAACATCAAACCAATCCGCTCCTGGAAAATCCAACAAGGCCACAAGGCCGTGACCCTAACTCACCTAGCCAGGTCTCTCTCCACTACATTTTATTTTCTACTTTAAAAAAGAGAAAGAGGGGCTAAAGAGATGGCTCAATCTGTAAAGTGCCAGGTACAGATGCACCTGTAGCCCTGGTGCTACAGGAAGGGACAGGAAGGTGAGGCCCAAGAATTCACTGCGCAGCCTGTGTAGCTGAACGAGCTCCAGGATCGGTGAGCGGCCCTGGCTCAAGGACGGGATCGATCTGCTGTTCACTTTTATACCTGCCAGAAGCGCTTGTTGTGGGGACGTGTGTGAGGGGAGAGAGACTGAAGAAGATACCCAACGCTGAGCACAGCCCTTCACACGCACACAGCCACGAGAAGGTGTGCATACACCAAACACACACCACCATACACTCACTAAACATTCCTGCACTTAAAGGAATGGAAGCACATGCCAGGAACCTCTGTGTTTGGGAGGCAAAGACAGGAGGATCAAGAGTTCACACCAGGGCTGGCCAGTATCTTAGTGATGATCTCTTGCTATGAAAAGACACCACGACCAAGGCAGCTTCTTGTTCCCTCCTTTGTTTGTTAGTTTGTTTTTGAAGACCGGGTCTCTATGTAATTCTGGCTGGCCTAGAACTCACTCTGTAGACCAGGCTGGCCTTAAATTCACAGAGATCTGCCTGCCTCTGTCTCTATCTCCCAAGAGCTAGAATTAAAGGTGTACACCCAGCTGACCAAAGAAAGCATTTAATAAGAGGCTTGTTTACAGTTTCAGAAGTTTGGTCCATGACCACCATGGTGTGGCATCAGGCTGGCAGTCATGGCACAGGATCCATAGCTAAAAGCTTACATCCTGATCCACAGGTAGGAGGCACAGAGAGAAGCCTGAGCCTGGTGTGAGCATTTGAAACCTCAAAGGCCAGCCCCAATGACACACCTCCTCCGACAAGGCCACACCTCCTAATCCTTCCTAAACAGTCCACTAACTGGTGGCCTACGGGGCCATTCTCCCTCAAACCACCACAGATGACTCAGTGATAACGCTCTTGCAGAGGACCCCAAGAGTTCAGTTCCCCGCATCCACATGGTGGTTTTCAGAGCCATCTGTAACTCCAGTTCCAGGGGATCCAACACCTTCCGACCTCTGAGCAACAGACACTCAAGCAGCGTACACATACACAGGCAAGCACTTACAGAAAAGTAAAAGGAAGCTGGGAGTGGAGGCATACCCTTTCCATGTCAGCACTCCAGAGGCAGAGCCAGAGCCACACAGTGAGACCCTGTCTCAAAAAAAAAAAAAAAACAACAACCAACCAACTCAATTAACGAAAAGGTTTGTTTATTCTAAAACAAGCTCAGACAAGCCTGAGGTACACACTGAAACTATAACCAAAATAGGAGGGAGGCGCCTGTAAGGCGGCTAGGTGGGCAACAGCAGTTGGCACCCAGCCTATCAACCTGCTCATTCTCCAAACTACACAGTGGGAGGAGACAGATTCCTGCAAGGTGTCCTGACGCCACAAAGACACACCGGTCCAAACGGAAGACAAAGGCTACTAGTAGTGTCTATTAGCAAAGCGTCTTTGGCCTCCAGGCTCACTCAGTACCTGTGGCTCCTCTCAGCTCTTACCTGACCCCGACACTAAACTTCTCCAGCTCATAGGCTTGCCTTCCTCCGGCTCCTCATTCCTATATAATCCTGTCATTTCGGCCATTTGCTCCCTTAACCTCTTGGTCCTCTCTTTCTCTCTATCAACCCTCTCCCTCTCTCCTGCTGGCCATCTTCAATGCACTACTTTCTCTCCCTGCTCTGGACTCTTCCAGAGGCTTCTACATGTACTCTCCCTCAAATCTACAAGAAAGCCCTTCTCCTCAACCAAACCTTGGAGTGGCCATGTCCTCAATTTACACACATGGTACTTTATCACCCATACCCACACAAAATAAATAAATAAATATTATTTTTTTTAAGATAAGAGAGCAATTGTGAGACAGAGAATACAAGAGAAGAAAACAAAGCAGAATTCCTTCCTAGAGAAAGCAGATCTCGTCTAGCAAATGGCATCAAAGCTCAGAAAGGAACCATAGGCATAGTTGTGAGATACAGTACTTGCCCAGCAGACACTAGAACTTGAGAGATCCAGGCCGTTCAAAACTCTAGAAGAGCAGAAAGACCAAAGACAACTGAAATAGTGACGTACTGTCAAGGTTGCCTAGAGCAAGCTAGAGAACAACAGTAATAATTAAACCCGTAGGCCCAGGCCCAAGCTTAGATGCGCAACTGACTCCAAAGCAACTGACAGCAAATACAATACCACCAGAAGGAAATCTGAATGTGCCTTTTCCCAGAAGAGCCCAGTATGGAGATCAGTAGATCAGTAGACAGGGGAAAGGGGGAAGGGAGGGGCTCTAATCTAACCGCTCATCTTGTATATCTTTTTATTTTTATCTTTTGGTTTTTCCTGACAGGGTTTCTCTATATATCAAGTCCTGGCTGTCCTGAACTTGCTTTGTAGACCAGGCTGGCCTTGAACTCACAGAGATCCACCTGCCTCTGCCTCCCTGAGTGCTGAGATCCAAGGCATGTGCCACCATTGCCCACTTTTTTTTTTTTTTTTTTTTTTTAAGACAGGTTTTCTCTACGTAGCCCTGGCTGTCCTAGTACACCAGGCTGGCCTTGAACTCAGAGATCCAAATGCTTCTGCCTCCTCAAGTGCTGGGATTAAAGGCGCCTGCCTAAAGGTGAGCACCACCACCTTGTATTTCTTTAGTCAAGCTTCAGTACTGACTATCTTCTCCAAGGATCTGATACAAGAATGAGGGTAGCAGATGTTCTGGGGCTGAGATGGCTCACTCCAGCTCCAGGGCACCAAACACTCATGTGGAGTATAGGCAAAACACTTACAACATAACATTACTATCTTTAAAGTCATAAAAAGTACTTTACTTCACTGTGAAACTACCTGAAAACCCAGGAAGGAGGCAGATCTGTGAATTTAAGGCCAGTGTGGTCTACATAGTGAGGTCCAGGCCAGCCAGAGTTAAATAGTAAGACTCTGTCCCAAAACAACAACAACAAACTGCAAACCCATGCAGGAAAACTGCCTTTCTAACAAGGTTGGTGGAAAGAGAGGTAAAGCCTGAAGCCCAGATTAAATTATGAATACTGTGTAGCATTTCCTTTATGACAGAAACTGCCCTGTGTCCTTGGCCAACGACACCTGTGGGATAGGTAACGGATTCACAATCAGCAAACTTCCAGAGTATCTCTGCCTAGACTATCTGCTGTTTACCAACAGATAGAAACAGCTCGGGGTGAGGTGCATGCAGTGTGGCTCAGTGGCGGAGCGCTTGCCTGCCCTGCCCGAGCCCCCAGGGCAGCCGGCACTCCTACCTGGGCCACAATGTTTAAAAGCAACAATGTGAAATAAACAGGTTACAAGTTAGTTCCTGTCCCGACTCTGTCACCCACAATGACCAATTTTTAGGGCTGTAAGGAAATAACTTTGTATCAAAAGCATTCCACTAGGAAGAATGCAATCTCCACGAAGACAGGTTGCACCCAATGCGGCGTCTCCCGAGTGGAGAACCTGACGTGGCACAAAGGCAAGGTTCACTCTCCCGTGGTCCTGTACATGAGAGGAGGGGGAGGCAGCGCTTGTACTCCAACAGGGCTCAGCAAAATCCAGCGGATCCCAGACAATCTAACACTCCCGCTGTCGGCTAACCTCAAAGCCAGCGACCCCAACCTTCCTGTGGCTCTGTCTCAGGAGATCTCCCCCAACCTATCTTGGATTCTAACAAGACTGTGGAGATAGGGGCGCAGCCCATAACTCCCGCGCCCTAAAGCTTGGCACAACGGGAGTCAAAAGGGAAGAGCCCATTGGCGCTCTGGTCTGTCCCTCCGGCCACGCGGCTGGTGCATACAGAAGTCCAGCACGCAGTGACTGGCAGCGCCAACAGAGCAGAGTCAGGCTCCCTTCGGAGACGCGGAGGTTACAAGCGCTGTGCAGTTGGCCTGCACTCGCGGCCCCTTACCTGGCCCCAGAGGGATGCACCGGGCTACTGCCACCAGGCGCAGCAGACTGGGAAAGCTGAATTGGAGTGTCGCAACTGGGCCGGCAACCTCCCCTTCGCCCTACGCCCCCCCTCCCCGGCCAATCACAGGCCTCAGGCTCCCGCCAGCCACGTGGGCGGTTTTGCACCTCCCGCTAAGCCGCCCGCCCGCCCGCCGAGGCCTCCCGCCACTCCCAAGTCCTCGCGCGCAATGGGCGGACGCTTTGGCGCGCTTGCGCACTTTAGGTAAAGAGGAGCAGAACCCCGCCCCATCCCCTGCTCTGCTTCTCCGCTGTGCGTGCGAGGGACGTCGGGGGCGGCGCCGCAGCAGTTACCCCTGGTAACGGGGGAGGCAGGAGGAGGAGGCGGAGGAGGAGGGACTCGGCTTGAGGATGGTGAGTGTGGGGGCCTCTGTCCCCTCAGGAGCTGACCAGTCACCCCCGCTCCTGTCCCCAGGGCGGGGCGCTGCGCTTGAAGTCGAGGAGGACGTGGGATGGCGCTCGCCTTGCTTTTTGGGGTTCTAGATCGGTTTCGGGGGTGGAGGGGGAGCCCCCAAAGTGGGCCTGTAGAAGGAGGCCTAGGCCTGGGGAGCAAGGAGGGGTTTGCGATGGGTCCAAGGCTTGGAGGAAGGACTTGGCGGGCGGGGAAGGCGCCTGGGCTCCATCATCATTCTGGGAACTGGGATGAAGGCGGCTCGGGAGCGGCGGCGATCAGGCCCGGCGCACAGGCTTAGATCTTCCTGCGGAGTCGACCTCTCGGCGCCTCTGGGCTGTGGGGTCCTTCTGAGACCCGGCCAGAAGCGGGAGAGAGGCGCGGCGCCACTGCCTTTGAGATTACCCTGGTGGCACCCGGGAGATGTAACCTAGCTTTCCTGGATGCTCTAGTCTCCGAGGGAGGTGTGTAGGGAGTTAGGTCCCGCGACAATTAAAAGGTACCGCTGGGAACGGGTGCCCGATTTCACGGCTCTGTGACCGCTCCTGCAGTCCCAGCTTAACTCGCTGAAAGTTGTTGATGAGCCGTCTTTGGTTCTGTATGTACTCCACGTTTATAGAAGCAAATTAGCCTCCCGTGTCCTAGCTTTTCCTTCAAACTTGTTGCAACGTTCTTTCGCGTGTGGCCACATGAGGACCGAAGGTCTTCATTTCAAACGAGAGAGAGAGAGAGAGAGAGAGAGAGAGAGAGAGAGAGAGAGAGAGAGAAACTGTACAAAGTGAGCATCAATTTGAAGCAAGCCTTTTCTCCGTTAACCATAAGTAAAGCTTTTGTAAATTGTAAGTTAGGTGTGCGACAGATTGGGCGAGACAGTTCCTTGCTGATTTTTCTTTTTTTGGGGGGCGGGGGTAGAGTTTTGATTTGTTTTTGTGTGTGTGTGTGTGTGACAGGGTTTCTCTGTGTAGCCGTGGCTGTCCTGGACTCGCTGATCCCAATTTTTTTTCTATATGACTCTTTATTCTCATTAATCTAATTTTAATAAAATCAATGAAGTCATAGAATGCTAATAAATTTAAATTAAAATATGAGGTATGCTAGTGCGCTCATATAACCAAGACACCATTATGTTTTGTTTTGTTTTGTTTTGTTTTTCAAGACAGGGTTTCTCTGTGTAGCCTTTGCTGTCCTGGACTCGCTTTGTAGACCAGACTGGCCTTGAACATACAGAGATCCGCCTGCCTCTGCCTCCCAGAGTGCTGGGATTACAGTGTGCGCCACCACACCTGGCTCCTTGCTGATTTTTTAAAATGATTTTATTTTGTGTGTATGTGTGTTTAGCATGCATATATTTGTGTACCAGGAGTGTGCCTGGTGCCTGTGGAGGCCAGAAGAGGGCTCTGGTAGCCTAGGACCGGAGTTACAGGTGACGGGTGGAGTTACTCGGCCAGGGGACACCAGAAAGTCAACATTGGTCCTCCCTGAGAGTGTCCGTCCTGATGACTGCTGAACATCTAGCCACCCTCCCTGTTGGTTTTGTGTTCCGTAGATGGAGAGTAAAAATGAAATTAAGGGGAAATTGTTAGTTTTAGAGCTAGTCAAAGAAAATCTGATTTTAAGGCTTTTAGAGTAGGTTGATTGGCTTACTAACGGCTACGAACCGGTTAACTGTTGCTTTCCCTCATCATTATTTTTGTGAAAATGTTGAACCACTTCTGTTGACTTAAGAAGAAAAAGCTAGGACTGGGGCTATAGCTCAGTCGGTAGAGGTTTGATTAGCATGAAGTCCTGCATAGAACTACATGTGATTGTGCCTGCCAATAATCCCAGAGAAGGAGGTAGGATGATCAGGAGTTCAAGAGCTACGTAATGATTTCCAGGCCATCTTGGGGTCCATGAGACCTTCTTAGAAGGAGAAAGGAGGAGAAGAAAGAGAAAGAGGAAGAAGGAGGAGAAGGAAAAAGAAGGTAAAAGGAGAAGATGAAAGTAGATGGGCAGAAGAAAATTACATATCTACTTTGGTATGTAATTTTGACCCCGCCTCCTAAGTCAATTTACATTGTCAAATCGTTAAGTAGAATTATTTAATCTGAGGTTGTCAGTCATATTTAACACTTGTTGTATTTACAGTTATTTCTAACCTCAGGCTAAACAGATTTTAACAAGTGTTCTTTTCATTATTTATACTTGAGCTGCCCATGTAAAGGCTAAGCTTATCTTAGCAAATGAGTACAGGTATAAATATTTACACACAAAAAAAAAAAATGGATTTGAGAAAGTGGCTATGATCACTCATACCTGTAACCTCAGCACTCGGGAGATAGAGGAGGAAGACCCCGAATTCAGGAGCTGCCTGGGCTACATGAGATAATTTTAAGTTTAATGAAAATAATTCTAACTGCAATTAAAAAGGCTGGATGTGGTGGCTCACGCCTGTAATCCCGGGACTCCAGCTGCTACGTTAAGAGGATCACCATGAGCTAAGAGGCCAGCCTTGGCTACCGTTAGCTCCAGGTCAGGCTCAGCCAGAGGGCGACCCTGCCCCAACAGCCATCCCCTTAAAAGAACCACATGCCAAACCGAGAAAATGAGATTTGTCGTAAATGAGGAACATGAGAGGCAACTAACATTCTTCAGTTTATCAACTGAGCAAATGTAATTTCACAACTGCTTAGTTCATAAATATAGGTCACAGCGGTGAACCGCTGCTCACGCCTCTAGGTGCAGGTTGGCCCCTGTGTATAACTACACGGCAAACTGACTGTGTGTATCCAGTATTGTCGGATGCCACGGTAGTAGTCCATGCTCAGAACAGAGTTTGTCTGTGTACTCACACTTTATGTGTGTATACGTCTGAGTGTTTTGCCTGAACACATGCATGTGCAGTGTGGGCGTGCCTAGTGGTCAGAAGAGGACCTCGCGGCATCTGCGGTGGGTTGTGAACACTGTATGAGTGCTGAGAACCAAACCCCAGTCCTCTACAAGAAGAGCAAGAACTTTTTATTATTTATTTTATTTTCTATGTGTGAATATTTTGCCTACATGTATGTACATGTACCACATGAGTTCCTGGTTTCTGACATTGGAACTGGAGCTACAGGCGGTTGTGAGCCACCGGTGAGTGCTGGGAATAGAACCCAAGTGCTCGGGAGAAGCAGCAAGCGCTCTTAACCCCTGAGCCATCTCTCCAGCTCTAAAACTATTTTTAAAAATTGGATTTATTCATTTTATTTACTCTGGGTTTTGCCTGAATGTATGTATGTGTGCCACATATACTTGCTGCCCTCAGAGGTGAGAAGAGAGCATCAGCTCCCCGGGCACTGGACTTACAGATGGAGCACTGAGCCGTCCATCCAGCCCCCGGACATTTTGAACAGTGAGGAGCCAGGATTGTGGGATATGGTGGTGCAGACTGTCAATCCCTGGGAGACAGGAGCAGGCGGATGCCTGAACCAGAGGTCTGCATGGGGAGTTTCAGGCTCGCTAGGGACCCCGCCCCATCTGAGAGAGAGAGACAGAGAGAGAGAAAAAAGAACAAGAGTCAGGCGGTGATGGTGCATGCCTGCAGTCCCAGCCCTTGGGAGGCAAAAGCAAGCAGATCTCTGTGAGTTTGAGGCCAGCCTAGTCTACAGAAGGAGTTCCAGGACAGCCAGGGCTGTGCAGAGAAAACTGTGTAAAAAAATAAAAACAGAAAGACGAAAAGGAACTAGAGCAAATTAGTTGAGATTATGTGATCTTACAAATCCATTTTTTTTTCTTTCTTCAAAGGTGTAAGTTATTCTTAGAACTGGAAGTAGAACAGTGAGTTTAAACAGTCAGTGCCATGAGTGTGTCACATCTAGTATCCCCTGAGCACCAATGGTTAATTGCACAATTGAAACGAGAACTATGCCAGGCATAGTGGCACAAGCCTTTAAGCCCAGTACTTGAGAGGCAGGTGAATCTCTGTGAGTTCAAGGCCAGCCTGGTCCATGTTGCAAGTTCCAGGACAGCCAGGAGATACATAGTGAAACCCTGTCTTGAAAAAGAAAGAAAAGTGAGCTATGTGTGTGTTTTATCGCTGTGATGAGACACTATGACCATGGCAACTCTTTGTTTCTTTGTTTTATTTCTCATTGTAGCTCTGCCTGTCCTGGAATTCACTCTGTAAATCAAGCTGGCCTACAACTCACAGAGGTCCACCTGCCTCTGCCTCCTGAATGCTGGGATTAAAGGCGTGCACCACCACAGCAACCCTTACAGAGGAAAGCGTTTAACTGGGGCTGGCTTACAGTTCAGAGGCTTAGTTCATTATCGCCATGGTGGGAAGCATGGTGGCATGCAGGCAGACATGGTGCTGGCGAGGTGGCTGAGAGTTCTATATCTGGGCCTAGAGGTCAGGTGCTTTTTTTCAAACCATCATACTTTGTCTTTTAAATTTCAGCTATGGCTGGGCATGGTGGCACATGCCTGTAATCAGAGCATTAAGGGAGGCAGAGGCAGGCAGATCTCTGTGAGTTCTAAGCCAGCCTGGTCTACAAAGGAAGTCAGGACAGCCAAGGCTACACAGAAAAATGCTGTCTCAAAAAATAAACAAACAAACAAATAAATAAATAATTTTCAGCTATGGCTAATGCTTTTTCTTCTATCTATATTTGAGTGACTGAAACA